CTCTCAACCTCCCTGGGCACGATTCTACGCACACACACATATACAGCGAGAGCTGTGGAGATCCTGCGTACATTTGACACTTTGGCATCGGGACAAGCTTGTGCAGCTGCTGGGGTCATTTCAGCTCATTTTCTCCTCCTTCAATGCCTTCCTCCTCCTCTCGCTCCTTCCCTCCTCCTAATGCTTACCCCCCGCACGGTTCCTCCTTCAAAGGACATGTGCATGCCCTGCATTTATTTTGTCGATGCCTCTCTCTGTGGGGGTTTTGTCTGGCATGGCTCGTCGTCTTTGTCGGGTGGATGGACGTGACATGGACGCTAAAGCGGACACACCAACATTGCGGCATGACCTACAGCCGGCCCATGTTCACGGAGGTTCCCTTACAAGGGGAAGGAGATGGTGTGCGGACCGGAGGCCACTTGGGGGCGTACCGATTGTGGTCTCTTCGAAAAATCGAGCACGCGGACACGGGGGAGCGACAGCCTGTGTTGTTCGTGCATGGCCACGCAGGCAGCTACCGGCAGGGAAGGTCCTTGCACCAACACGCAGTGGAGGCGGAGAGAAGCGCATGGAACGACGGGGACGGGGGGGACAGGCAAGCAGGAGGGGTTGGAAATGGTCCGGAGCGGGGCTTTTTCGGGGCGCAATTGGGTGCGGGCAAGGTGTGGCAGGAAGGGGAGGTGGAGGGCGGGAGGGAGGAGGTGGAGGGAGGGGTAGGGGCAAAGGAGGAGGATATGGGAGACAGGGGCAAGGAGGGAAAGGCAGGGCCATTGGAAGAGAGGGAGGAATCGGGCGGGATGGGAATGAAGGCTTCTGGGCTCGGCGAGACAGACGCCAGGGGCACTGAGGAGGCGGGCTTTCCCAGAAGCAACCGCTCGATCAATTCCCACACATTGCATTACTACTCGGTCGATTTCCAAAAAGAAGCCTGCGCACTGCACGGCCGGACCCTGTGGCGTCAGGCAGTCTTCGTGAAGGACGCGGTCCGGACGTTGCGGAAACGGCACGCCCAACGCGGCCAGGGGAGGAGGAGGGTGATAGTCGTGGGGCACTCCTATGGGGGCTTGGTCGCCAAGGCGGGTATGCTCTTGCTCGCCTTGGAGGAGGGCGGGAAGGACGAAAAAAGCCGCATGGAGGACGTGCTGGTCACGCTGGGAAGCCCCCATCGGGCCCCGCCCTGGGCCCTGGAGGCCTCCGTGGCAGAGTTCTACGAGGTCCTTTTCCATCATACCGGAGAGCGTCATCCTCGCCTTCCTCCTCGGAAATGGAACAGAGGGGGCTGGAGGGTAGGGGTGCGCCGCGCCACGGAAGGGCTGCATCGGATGCTCAATGTGGCCCTTCGTCTTTTCCCGAGAGGGGGGAATGGGAGGTGCCAGGTGACGGAAGGGAGGGAGGGAAAGGAGAAGGATGATGGGAGGTGCCAGGCGAAGGAAGGGAGGGAGGAAGAGGAGAGGGCGTGGA